CAACTACCAGACCCTGTTATATTACACCACACTGAGTGCCCACTGTATCTTACATGTGTTCAGTAGAGGATCCTCTGGGACAAGCAGTAAGATGTGTCCCAGCTGAGTTATCACGTGGCAAACCATCCTTTCCTTCTCTGGGTTTTGTTCAGAGTACACTTCACAGACGCTCTCATTCCGATCTGCACTAAACACACGCAAATCTAGTGTCATTCCTAGGCAACAGGGAAATGAACTTTTCTACAAAAGAAAGTAATTTAGTAGCATGCTAAATAAAAAGAACATACCCCTCCAAAGAGATGAGGTAAAACAGAAGCCTTCATTTTATAGCAGCATTGAAGGCAGAAATCCTAGGATTTTGCTGCCTGGGTTCAAATCCATCCCTTGACCCTTACTAGTTGAAGCCTTGAGTGAGATATTTTAGCCTTAGTAAGCCCTTCTTTAAAAAATACCCTAATAATAGATCTTACTGCAGAGTTGTGAGCACTGAACACTAGTGGTTACAAGAAAAACGCTTCCTACATGTACACTCCAATAAAAAGCTTTCATTGTGTGAATGCTCTCAAATAAGTAACATTCAGGGGCTTTTGTTTCTTATAAATAAGAATGCTCCAGTCAAATATGGTGTAGAATCTATAATATAGATGGAGCAGTAGTTCAGCAAGTCGCTTGACCAAGGACAGAACCAATTTGGGAGGACATGTTTAAGAACACAGAATAACCGTTGAGTCTGCAACGCAGTCCTTCCTTTCTAGAACTCTGTATGAGGAAAGAAACCGGAAACCGAAGTCACCATAGCCCTTCAAGCTCTCCCAGCATTTTACAGCTGTGTGTCGCTGTGACTTGAAAGCTCGCAGCACCCCTGAGGTAAGGCAGAACAAATGTAAGAATGCTCTAGGAGATTAACTACAGCCTAATCCTGATTCCATGGGGACGGTTCTTGGATCCCCTTCAACTCAGTGCTGAGAGACTCCCAGGATCTCGTAGTTGGAAGGACCAACCCGAGGCTTTTACTGTTAGAGCATGCTTTACGTGCAGACCAGAGACCGTGTGCTCCAGAAGGAGCAGGCGGACTTGAGAGGCTGCCAAAGAGGCAGCTGCCCTCAGCTTCAGCTCGCTGAGAGTCAGCCTTCTCAGACAGGGCTGCAAGGGCTCAGGCATTGCGACTGGAAGACGCTTGCCTGTGACTCATCTAGAAGAATAGAACTGAGGGAGGAAAGCGGGGAGCTACAAGCAAAGAAAGCAAAAGCAGGGTGTCTATCCTCTTGAACCACAATGAGATGTCCTAATGGCGTCCCTCTGAAATGGAAACACCGGAAACACCGTCTGGGGACTCCACTGTCAGGAAGTGCAGGATACCTTTGCCAAGTCTTTGGGGGAACAGGAACAACGAAGGCAAAACACCAAGGAGACATTTTCTTTTCTTTCTTTCTCTTTTCCTTTCTTTTATTCTTTTTGAAGATTTTCTGGTAAACCAACCAAGAACCCCGCAGTTCACTTAATCTATCTGCACTAAGCAAATTTCATGCACTAATAGAATTTCCTTTTCTTTGAAGACAGGCAGAAGGGCCTTGGCTAAGGTGGTGGGGAAGTGAATATTAGAGTTATCTTTGTAGCTCATCTGGGAAACCCTTCATTTAGTGGAAGGCAGCATAGCAAACACAGGGTGCTGTTGAGCCTGGCTATAGATCTTTCTACGTGGATCTTATCAAAAATCAAACCTTCCCCAGCTTCCCTGTGTGCAAAATAGGGAGAAACATAACACCCACCTCTCTGGAAGACTGAAAAGACTGAAGTCAAACCAAGCTCCTAACACATCTCCTACTGCATTGCCAGCATCTACTGAGTGTGACATGGACTACCTATTTAACTACACTGCTACAAGCATGTCATTATTTCCAGTAGGCATCACCTGATGATACCCTCTTGACCTGACACACCAGCCACTTAACAGATCAAGAGAAAAGATATCCCAATGTCCCCTGGAGAGTAGCAACTGCTTTTCATCTCTTTCTTTATTGTTTAATTGTAAGAAATAACTTTTTGGCTATGAAGAGTCACTAACTGAAGGCACCCAACTTGAATATTTCTATAAAATGCTTGTTATTACTAAAGTTGCTTTGAATAAAGTTCTGCATAAGAACACAATGTTTGAGAACTTGTCGCTGACCTCTTGTTAAAGTAACAGTGTGTGTTTATGTCTCAGCCTTCTGGAAATCTGCTCTCAGAAAGAAACAGGGACTTGTTGCAAACGTCAAAAGTATGATCTTTGGCCCTTGGGGAGCTTATAATTTAATAGAGTAATTGGCTGGACACAGAACCACATAATAAATATGGCAGAAGCACATAAGCAAACATTTATACATAGCTACACACAGCTGCATAGGTTTACACAGGTGCTACATAGCATCTGGGAGAGAAAAGTTAAGAGAGCAGGGCTTTTTACAGCACTTGGCAACTAGAATACAGAGAAATATAAGTTTATAAAAATGCTTCCTCGGCACTGAACAATGCCGATGCAAAGGAAGCTCAAAGATCAGTGAAGTAAAAGAAACTCCAAATTGTAGAAAGAGCAGATGTAACAGATTAGAAAGGAGTAACACTGAGTTGTGGATGAAAATAGTCCTTGAATATGTCCACTGTGTCGAGACTTTGGCTTTGTATGAATCATCTCACCTAACTCTCTGAGGTTTGGGGAAATTAAATGACTTGACTGAAATTTGTGTCTGAGTGTCAGCAAGTACCATTCCGAGATTGAATCCCAGTTTGGCCTGGCTCCAAACCTGCCCGCCAGTGTATTTACTGTACTCCCTTGTTGATCATATAATAAAAGAGGAAAGACCAGCTGAGAACAGCCGGGGGTGGGGGGTTGGGGGTGGGGAGATTCACAAATGCTTATCTAGCCCATTAAGCTACAAAGGAAAATAGCAACAGTTCCAAAACTTGAGAAGCCATGAGGTGGGAATGGGGCAGACTGCCCACAGCATGTGGAGAAGTCAGCTGGAGGAGACCAAGGGAGCACTCCACCTCCTCAAAAGCAGAGTTGACAAACTCTTCCTTCATGACTCAGTAAGCTGCTTTGGTGTAATCACTTTCATTCCCTAACACCACAGTATGGAGACACCACCCAGGAGAAGGCAAGACATCCTAACTATGCATGGAGGTGACCAGGGGGGATACTAATTAGTCATCTACCCAGTGACACTGGTAACTGAACAGGGAAAATGTCTGCTCCCTAGTAATGCTTTACTAAGCAGTGAGTTCCTGTAGACCATGCCCTCTTAATGTAACCACCAACACAACAGAGTCTGGGGACAGGAGAGCCCGGACTTGAATCTCATTGACTCTGGGACCTTGGATAAGCTTTATAAATATTCTAGGTATCCTTTTTAATATATGTATACTGGGTCTATCTTAGTTTCATGGAGAAAAATCAACAGGAATTATACACAAGAAGCACACAGAGTTTGGAGCATTGAAAGTGCCCGGATTGATTGAATATTGATACTGAAGACATCATAGGACAGGCAAAACACTTTTCAAGCTCTTGAAAGCAGTCACGGGCATCTTTTGTCTTTTTCCACATAGCTATCTCAGTCAATACTGTCATCCTCATGTTAAACAAAAATCTGCCACTAAGTTTGTTTGGTGAGGCAAGTACATTTTTCTTTTTCTTTTCTTTATTTATTATTATTATTATTATTATTATTTTGGTTTATCGAGACAGGGTTTCTCTGCATACAGGGTTTCTCTGTAGCTTTGCAGCCTATCTGTAGACCAGGCTGGCCTCGAACTCACAGAGGTCCACCTGCCTCCACCCCTCCCTCAAGTGCTGGGATTAGCAAGCATATTTTTCCATGTATGGTACCACCTATCTGTATGAGATGAACTTCCTAGGCCACACAAACTCCAGTAACCAAATCGTTATCACTGCAGTGGGGTCGCCAACCTCAGATCTGAACATTTCTGCTCAAGCTTTGTGTTTTTCTCAGGCTTTCTGTGAGGCCATCTTAGATACACCCAGGCCAAGGTTTGCAATGCTGCTTAATGACAATCATGTTGCCAGCAGTTTTGTTTGGGTGCGGCTCTGTCAAGGAGATGTGGAGTGGGGTGATGAGTCGGTTGCAGCTGTTCATCATTATGAGATAAGCCTGAGAAGCCATCCAATTAACCTTAGTATATAATAAAGCCAATCAGCAAATGAAAACAAGAATTTCTCACTCACGGAAATGATATTTAGCTTGTAATTGCTGCCTGGGAATGTCGAAACAAGAAGAAAACATTAGGGAAATTGCTCTCCTCCCCACAAATTGATGTTTGGTGATTATTTTTTTAAAAGTCGAGACTATCATTTGATAGACTCGATTATTTTATCCTAACCTGAAGATAAGATTAGATATATATCATAATGTAAAATAACATGCTAAAGTTTAAAACATGGGAATTATGAAATACATTATTTTTCCCTAGTCCTGTGGTTTAAACTCTAGATGTAAAGAATTAATTTGGAAATTGTATTTTCTTTGCAAACAATTTTAATAATTCCAGAGAAAGAAATCAGCATAAAAATACAGCATTCATGTAATTGAGAAATCTGTCACAAATCACCATTAAATGGTTAAGGTTAGTTAAATGGTACTGTTTTTCACATCATAATGTATATGTGTGTCATTGTGCTAGGCTGGGTGGACAATACAAGAATAAGAATGAGAGAATTAATTTTGTTCATTTTTGTATGATTTGAACAACTAAAATGACTTGGATTGGTACATCATCACTATGCTAAAATTTCCAACTTAGCTATGAGTCTCAACAAATATCAATGAAACTCATAAATACCAATATAAAGTTGTAAATTTCATTGTGAAATAATTATAAATTGTTGGGGAAGTCCTGCTATTTGCCTGTGCATTTGTCAATAAAGTACTGTCTGGCCAATAGGGAATCTAGATAGGAGGGACTAGGAGTCCAGGAGGACTCTGGGTAGGAGAAACACGAGGAGTTCGAGATGTAACGCCATCGGGTAGGAGGCCAGGAATTTTCTCCGGTAAGAAACATACTTAGATTAACAATTATGGGGTAATTACTTAAGTCAGAGCTAGCCAGTAAGAAACAAACAAGGCCAACAGCTTCATAATTATTATAGCCTCCTGTGTGTTTATTTGGGACTGATTCAGCTCTGGAACCAGGCTGGCGGGAAGGCTTCTCTCAAGGAAAAAGCTTCTCTTAACAGAATGGTTGTCAGGATCGGGATTGAATTTCCACGCAAAACAACAAAAGCTTTAAAGGAATTTTAAAAACAGAAGAACAGAGAGAAGCACAGATTTTGGTAGCAGCATTTTTCTCAGGTGTGCTCTGTTTTGCTAGTGACAAGCCGAGATTCACGCGGCTCGTTTACTGGAGTCTTCCTGACTCGGCAGAAAAAGAAAAAGAAAAAAAAACCAACAAGGTTCTTTTAAGAGACTCTGCTAACGATTGAAAGGTGTGTACGTACAGCTGGAAGTGGCAGCTTTTGCTGGATGTCAGCATGGACTGAGGCGGTAAGCTGGAATCACGCTTACGCCCGCCATCTTGAAACGGCAGTTTAAAACAGCCGCAGTTTTACAAATAAGACACGTGGCCAGAAAAACATAAAGATTTACAGTAAAGTCAGACTTGGATAAAGAAAAACCTCTAAAGGTTTACAGTGTGTTTAAAAATATACGTGAGATTAAGAGAGAAAATAAAACAGCAAAGTGGTAAATAAATACAAAAGCCAGCGTTGTGGTGGCGCACGCCGGTAGGATTTACTCCAGAGGCAGAGGCAGGCAGATTTCCAAAGAGAAACCCTGTCTCAGAGAAAAATAAATGAAAGTGAAAGAAATAAAGTAATAATAGATAAATAAATAAGCCACGTAAAGATGGAAATCACACAGAGAGTCTGGATACTGTACACTATTGTGTTTTTCAGTTTTTTCATTGCTAAGGAAGGAGCAACTGCTAAAGTACACTTGATTATAAATGCTGCTAAATTAATACAACTTATATCTTTTGAAAATACCTTGACTTCAAAATTTAAGCATAAGGATATGTTACTCGGAAAAGGAGTTTTTATTTATGTTTCTACAGAAAATGAAAAGCTGAAGATTCCTTCCAGGCTTCTGTGGTTTCACGAACCAAGACCCCCGGAAGCAGTGGATCAGATGTTCCAACAATTGAAACAGCTAAGATGATACAGTCTTACAGACCCCGAAAATATGAACTTATACAGGTTTCTGAGTTTTGTCATGATCCCCATAGTATGAACGGCGCCCCGTTCCAGCAGGAAGCAGTTTAGAATGAGCAACGTCCCAATTCCCATCTTGTTTATAAATCTTTGTTTTCATTTAAATGGGATTGTTAATAATTGGCTAGTGATCACAGCCAATCCTTTTTTAATGGTAAAAAGGGGAATTATGGTATGGGTATTGTTTTTCATTAATGGATACAAATTCAAGGTTAATTTTGTGATGCTTATATTTCTCCTCTTGATTAAGTATTGTGCTTATACTGATCTTTTAAAATGTAATGCATAATTGAATACAGATTATAGATAGTTACTTATAATAGTCAGAACTTATAGTTAGGTAAGTTAGGTTTTCTAGATATACAGAAATATATTTGAGATAGATAAAGAGTCTTCAAACCTCTCAAAGACCTTCAGAAAATGGCATTTAAAATAGTTTAGGGTTTTTCTTGACAATGAGAAATGTCTGCTCCTGGCAGCACCAATTACGTCTGAGAGGAAGATGGGCATCGAAGAAACTTGTTATGGAGTTTGCTTTCAACATGGCAAGTTTAGCCATTTGGGCAAGAAACTGCTCTTGCCTAGACTGCTTGACTGTTGTTGTATAATCTGGACATTCAGGACCCACAGAAAAGTGACTGCTGAACTCAGTCTTACAGGGTTCCTACTTCATGGAAGAGTCTACCAGACTTTCTGCAAGACACAGAAAAATGACTGACAGACTGCTGATGCAGATGGACAGTTTGAAATTTCCTGCTTTGCTGAGAAGTGTTCCAGACACATTGTGGCCTATGGGCTGAAGATGGATGCCCCAACGTTACAGAGGAACTTCGGGTGACTGTCCAGGCAGTAAGATGTCTCTGTCAATCCTAGTGTTTATATATTATCCTTCCGTGGTCTTTGATGGAGTTAAAGATAGATAGTTATAATTATAGTTTTCCTTAGTTATGATAAAAGATACATATAGAACTTTGGACTCACAAGGATGGGATGGATGATATTTTCTTTAAATCTTACTAAAATATTGTAACTATGTTCTTACTTGATAACTGTTCTGTCATATACAATTTGACTATGTTAAAGTTAAGACCTTTCTTTTTGTTTAAACAGAAAAGAGGAGATGTTGGGGAAGTCCTGCTATTTGCCTGTGCATTTGTCAATAAAGTACTGTCTGGCCAATAGGGAATCTAGATAGGAGGGACTAGGAGTCCAGGAGGACTCTGGGTAGGAGAAACACGAGGAGTTCGAGATGTAACGCCATCGGGTAGGAGGCCAGGAATTTTCTCCGGTAAGAAACATACTTAGAATAAATACACAGATGTTGCAAAAAATGCCCATCTTCCATGTTGTCATTTTTATACTTTATACTCAATATCAAAACCAGGAAATTGATGCTGGTACATTACTGTGTTGTTAGTCAGTGCTTTCTAGAGTAGCAGAACTTATAGAATGTATATGTGTATGTGTATATATATATATATATATATATTAGATAGATAGATAGATAGATAGATAGATAGATAGATAGATAGATAGATGGGATTTATTAGAATCTCTTACATGCTACTCCCTACTATTCCAACAATGGCAGGCTAAGAATGGAAGGTCCAAGAATCCAGAAGTTTCTCAATCCACAAGGCTGGATGTCTCAGCTGATCTTCAGTATGCATCAGAATCCCAAAGACATAGGCTCTAACGCCAGTGAAGGAATGGACTTGCTCGAGAGAGCAAGCGGGTAAAGATCTAAAGCTGCCTTCTTCCGTGTCCTTAGACAGGCCTCCAGCAGATGGCAGGGCCCACATTAAAAGTGTGTCTTCCCACCTCAAGATTCTTGCCTCAAAGTTCCAGATTGGTAGATCTTCCCACTTCATATTAAACAGAAATCCCTCACAGGTGTGTCCTCCATTTGGGGGTTTTAGTTCATTCCAGATATAGTCAAGTTGACAACCAGGAATAGCCATCACAATTACCAATAACACACTATACACTTTGTTCCATTTTCAGGAATTTTTCCTGTCACTTGGTTGTGAGGAGAATGCTAACATATGATGGATATAAATGAATGGATGTGGCTTCCGTGGTTCTGTGTGCTTTAGTCATCTGTATAGATCTTTGGAATCATCACTACAATATAAATGCAAATTACTCTGTCAGGATAAAGGAACTGCCTAAGACTACCCTTTTGTAGACCGCCTCCCATTCCTGGTAATCATTAATCTATTTTTTCTTTTTCTTCCATAGGCTTATTTTTTCAAGGTTATAAAAATAGAACCGAAACATGTTACCTTTTGAGACTGGCCATATTGCTTTCCAGATTCATCCAGGTTGTTGTTTGTGACAAAACTGGCTCAGGTGTTATTGGTGATCATCATTTCAAGATGAAAGGACGTCAAACTGGCCCCAGTTTTTGGCTTAGAATTAAAGCTGTTATGAACATTCATGTACAAGTTTTCTGTCAACCTAAATTTTCATTTCTCTGGGACATATGCCCAGAAGTGTAGTGTCCTACAATGATGTCATGACTAGTTTTGAGAGAAAAATCATCATATACTCTCACCAGCAATGTATGAAAAGTTCAGTTTCTCTACGTTCTGTCCATCATTTAATGTGGCCACTTGTTTTTACTCTAGCCATCTGAAAGATAGGAAATGATATCTGAGTCTGATAGAAATTTGAGTTTTCTGAAAGTCCTTTGCCTGCTTCCCACCTGGACCCGTGTTGATGTCCGAGGGCCACACAGCTACTGTGGCCATGCTGATCTGAGTGGCCTGTGCTGCCACCTGGGGCCATTGTGACATCCTGACCTAGGCCGCTGCTGAGGACCATGTCTTGGTCTGTGGTCCTACTGCATCTGGGGTCTATGCTGGAGTCTGTGGCCCATGTGGCCACCATGGTCCACACTGAGGCCCAGGGTCTGGGCTACAACCTGTGGCCCTGTTGGAGTCTGGGGACCATGCTGCACCCATGCACAGATCTGGGTGGCTTGTGCTGCCACCCAGGGCCATGGTAATCTAGGCCCAGGCTATTGCCAATGGTCATGTCTGGGTCCATGACCCTAACAGCAGCCAGGATCTGTGCTGATGTCTGAGGTTTCTGTTACCATTAAAGGGCTTAAATGCTCAAGGTCTTGGGCCATGTTAGTGTCTAAGGGTCATGTTGCCACTGGGTCCATGCCAGTCTGAGTGGCCTGCACTGCCATCTGGGACAATGGTGGCATCCAGACCTGTGTTGAAGTCCAAGGCCTATGTTGTCACTGAAGGTGACATGGAAGCCTAAGGTTGGGGCCTCAACCTGTGGCCTTGGTGTCCAGGAACCATGCTGCTATAGAAGCCATCCTGATCTGAGCGGCCAGTGCTTCCACCTTGAGCCAGGATGTCATCCAGGCCTGAGAAACTGCCAAGGGCCATGTCTGGGTCCATGGTCCTGCTGCAGCTGGGATCTATGTTGATGTCTGTGGCCTCTGTCCCCTAAGGGAGCCATAGGAACCATGTGTGATGAAATCAGAGGACCACGCTGAGCCAGCTGCCATTCACTGGCCCTAGGAAAGCTGACCCTAACTCTCTCTTGACACTGCAACAAGAGAGTTGACTCTGCACTGGGGAGAGAGTAAAGGCAGATTTAAAGGAGTCCACAAAACCCAGATGAATGATTAACAGGTATTTATTAGTGGAGCACTAACACAATCATGGTAAATAACCACCACAGGTCTCCCTGCTCCTGAAGATGCAGTCTCTGTCCTTCTGGATGCTCCACCCACAACCCAAGAGAGAAAGAGAGCCAGCCCCTCCTCTTCCTTACAAGGGGTCACATCAGCAATCTGAAGCCATGCCCCTAGGATTCGGCCATCACTGCAAATCCACTGGAGAAATAAGATGCCACTATAAGAGAGGACCCCACCCCTCACCACATGGAAGGTAGAATTGATCCTAATGGCAAGGGCATAAGGGAGCTGGCCCCACCCTCTTGATGATGATATATTATTTATGGTCTATTAAAGTTTGTCTGGAGATCAGAATGCAAAGCTAGCCACAGCCACAGAGACCAGGCAGTGGTCATACACACCTTTAATCCCAGCAGCCATAGAAGCCAGGCCGTGGTGGCACAATACTTTAATCCCTGCACTGGGGAGACAGAGGCAGATGGATCTCTGTGAGTTTAAGGCCACCCAAGGCTACTTGAGAGTCAATCAGTCTACAAAAGAAACAGAGCTCACACCTTTAATCCCAGCACTAGAGAGGTATATAAGACAGGAGCAGGGTCTCAGAGCTGGCAATTAGTCTCCAGTTACAGGAATTCATTCACCAGCCATGCTGAGGAATCATGGAGACAGGATTGCCCTTTCAGTCTGAGATAGAGGTAAGAGCCAGTGGCTGGCAACTTTGCTCCTCTGATCTTCAATTCAAACCTCAAAATCTGATTTGGGGATTTTATTATTCGTGTTACACCTGAGGCATGTGTAACCAGTGGCCCAGACTGACCAGTTCAGCTACCACCCAGGCCCACAGCCAGGCCTTTAGGTGGCCCACCCTAACACCCACCCCATCTAGGACCTGCTTGAGCTCACGAAGGGACTGATCCTGTGACACCATACCCATAGGATCTCCATGATATCCCAGAGCAGTTTCAGTGAGGATCCAGTGATGATGATTCCAGAACCCAGAGGCCTTGAACCATTGACTAGCAAATAAACACATGCTAGGAAAGTTGCTTCAACAAACAGGCATACTACAAGACACACCACTCCCAGTGCTACAGGAAAGATGGAGAAAAACAAGGAGGGTTTTTTGTTCATTTGTTTTGTTTTATTCTTGTTTTTATTTGCTTTCTTGCTATGTTTTGTTTTGATTATTTTATTTTGGAGGTTACTGCTGGAGTGAGGGGAGAATATGGGGAGGGACTGGGAAGTGAGTAAAATTGGGGTGCATGATGAAAAATTCTCAAAGAATCAATAAAAAATTATGTTAAATGACAAATGGCTTGTTTAAAAAAACTGTAGAAAATTTAGTGTGTCTAGAACTGGAAGAAAAAAGACAAGAATGAATACTTCAAGCATTTGACTATATGACTTTCATGTCCCTGATAAAGTAACATCTATAAACAAGGATCAATGGGTGTGAATGTGTTACATTTTCCTTAAGCAAACAGGAAATGCTAACTGCAGCTTGAAAGGCTTCTGAAAACGTTTAGAAAAGTTTTCACCCATTAAACGCTATCAGCATCATTTTTTCTGACCCTCAACTTCAGGGTCAAGAGATGTGCTTCAGGCACTTACTTAAGACTGGCTTTTATGGACTCAATACTTTCTGTTAATCCAAGTGCTCTCTGGTGGAAGAAACTGTTCAGTTCCCTCGCTGACAAATAGTTCCCTTGCAAACCCAAGTCAGCTGTGCTGCTGCATATCCCCATGGATGCTATCCTGCTGCTTCAGTCCCGGCCCTGGGAGGCTCCCTCCAGAGTGTGGCGGGTAGAAGGCTTGGCAGGGATTAAAGCATAATGTCCAAACTGAAGCACTGGCTGTGACTGCTATAGTATTTCATGGGAACAAGAAGATGAAATCTTTAGTCAAACTGCTGAAATAGCAAGAAAATGGAAGAAGCAGGAAAAATCAGTTAACATTAAATTTTCCAAGATTCACTGAAAAGAAAGCGCAAGCCTCATTTCACAGTGCAGTTTCACTGTTGGAGAACAATTTGGAGTTCACTTAGGGACGTTTCAGTTATAGTCATGCTTTGGCTAAATTTATGAGCTGAAGATAATATCCTGAAAAAGAGACATTTGAACAGCCCCTGCCAATGTTACATTTTATATATATTGTCTTACAAAACTCTTCAGGACCATAGTTATAAAAAAGTATTATCCTGGGTGTCACTGGAATACTTTTTTCTTCCCCTGGGGTATCAAGAGCTACCAAAACTGAGGTACCCAGCCCTGGGAGCCAGGTCAGAGCAGGAGACCCCAACCAGCTGCTACCAAGCTGTCTCAGAGTAACTAAGAACCTTCTGAGCATGAGGTCACAGAGGAGCCACCAGGCAGATGTGATGGTTCACACGGTTATTTCAAGGGACCACAGAGTAAAGCATCTGAAATCAGGGCTCTTCATGGACTTTCAATCTAGAATTCACCAACAGGGATGAAGATGAGACCAAAGTAATAATAATAACTGAAAGCAAAATAGAAAAGGCAGAAAAAAAGAGTTGTAGTTCCATTGATTATCTTTTCCCCACTATTAGCTGTTTGAAAGTTCTTTGAAGATTCTATGCTCTTGAATCGATAAGACCATGGAGGGGATCCTCAGTCTAGTTTCTTCCTCTTCACCTTTGCCAGTTGGTGAACAGAAACAAAACAAAACTCTCATATTCAGAATTGAGGGTGTGTGTGTGTGTGTGTCTGTGTCTGTGTGTCTGTGTGTCTGTGTGTATGTCTGTGTGTGTGTGTGTCTGTGTCTGTGTGTCTGTGAGTCTGTGTGTATGTCTGTGTGTGTGTGTGCGTGTGTGTGTGTCTGTGTCGTGTGTTTGTGTGTCTGTGTGTGTCTGTGTGTGTGTGTCTGTGTGTGTCTGTGTGTGTGTGTGTGTCTGTGTGTGTGTCTGTGTGCTTGTGTGATGGAGCTAACCATAGCTGAAACCAACAATTTTGACTCCCACTGAGTCTTTGCTATCTCAAGGCAGCAGCGTGCTCCATTCATTACAGCCATATCTGGAGGGTGACCCTGGAGCAGAGGCTTCTCTCACGTCAGCATAACTGGCCCTTGATGTAGAAACACACGAAAAAGTCCTCCAAATGCTATTAACACAGGGAGGAACTGATCTTCCCCAGATACTGTGTTTCTTCTCAAATTACCTCAAAACTGAATTTGGACAGGCAGTGAAACCTTCCTACCTCTCACCCTCTGTCCCTTAGTCTTTGTCCTAAGACCTAAAAAGTGGTTTGATTTCCTCCCTTACCATCTATATCCAAGAAAAACTGCAGACTGTGATTTGAAGAAATAACATTCTATTATGGAAACATTTTATGATTTGCAGGTTTCATTTGTGGAGCGTGTCTCACTGTGTAGCCTTGGCTAGCCAGGAGATTAGTATGTAGACTAGGTTGGCCTTGAATGCAAAGAGATACACTTGTATATGCCTGGGGATTAAAAGCTGCACCATCATGCCCAGATGTGAAAGCACTTCATTTATTAAAAGATGACAACATATGTGGACGAATATATTCATTCTCTAGGCTGCAAGCCATTTTTAGGGCACAGAAGAGGTTTGGATATGGTCCCTTATGCTGTTTTTCAAATTCCATATGCCCAGGATGAAGGCAAAGCTTGCCACTTTCCATTTTTGCATTTTTGAGGACGAGGGATCATTTTCTTTTTAATTTTTTTTATTTAAATTAGAAACAGGCCTGCTTCATATGTCAATCCCAGCTCCCTCTCCCTACCCTCCTCCCCTACAC